CACCTGTGACAGCAGAGCGTCCACCTGGGCCTGCGAGACGATGGTCCAAGTCTCCGTCAGAAGGTCCTGGAGCTGCCGCCCGACCTTGGACACAGCCGCCGTCACGTCCTCAAAGTACCTGAGAGGACGGACGCTGATGCTGGAGGGGGGAGCGGGTGGGCGAGGGGCCGTGGCTGAGGAGTAGTGGAGGAGGAACTGGACGTGATCCTGTGTGGAGGAGAGCTGCTCCAGCTCAGCGTCTCTCTGCTCCAGCTCTCTCACCTCCTGCTGCAGCGTCTCCTGGAGCTCCCTGACCCGACGCTCCTCGGACCGCTGCTGCCGCCTGATCTGCTGCTCCACGTCCGAGGTTCTGTCCTGCAGCAGACGGACCAGCTCAGACAACATCTTCACACTGTCCTCCACGGCCGCGTCGGCCGAACACTTGACGGCCTCCAGCTCTCCTTCAAGCACCTTCACGTTCTCCTTCTTGTCCTGGAGGCTTCGCTGGACTTCCTGTCGACTCAGGTCCAGCTCTTTCTGCCTCCACGCCCGTTCTTCTACAGCCGAGACCACGTCGTGGCCTTTGTGCTGATCCACGGAGCAGAGAAAACACATGCACTGTCCATCGGTGCGGCAGAACATCTTCATGGCCTCGTGGTGACGGGAGCAGATGTTCTCCTGCAGCCTCCTGGAGGGCTCCACCAGCTGGTGTTTGTGGAGCGGTGCGGAGCTGTAATGAGGCTGGACGTGCTCCTCACAGTAGGAGGCCAGACAGACCAAGCAGGACTTGACGGCTTTCAGCTTCTGTCCACCGCAGACGTCGCAGGCCACGTCCTCACGTCCGGCGGAGCGCGGATGATCAGCGGTCGCTCGGCGTCCGCACTTCTGCAGCTCGTCCACCAGGACGGCCAACATGGTGTTCCTGTTCAGCTGGGGTCTGGATGTGAAGGTGTGTCTGCACTGAGGGCAGCTGTAGGGAGTCTTCTCACCCTCCTGGTCCCAGTGGACCTGGATACAGGGCTCACAGTAGCTGTGTCCACAGAGGATGGTCACTGGATCCCTCAGGAGGTCCAGACAGACGGAGCAGAGGAACGCCTCCGCCTCCAGACGAACTCTGGCCTGAGCCATTTTACCAACTGGTCACGACGACGACTGAGACTCACTGACGACTTTCACTTTGTCTAAATAGTGTGAGCGCTGATCTACACAACGTGTGTGTGTGTGTGTGTGTGTGTGTGTGTGTGAGACGGCTGCGTCACTGCGCCACACCTCTTTAAACTGCCCTTTTGACGGAGCAGGAAATGTGACTGAGTGAGTCGTTCCAGGAAGGAAACACAAATGAGTTCAACCTTTAAAAGAAGAGCAGGCTGTGACGCCACAGTCCAAATAAATCAACAAAATATATTAAAAAAAAGATCTTTCTCAGGTCATTTATACAGTTGTGTCCATTCAGAGTTTTTGTGATAAAACCCAGACACGTGGAAACAACTTTGATCTGTAATTTCATACAATCATTTGGAAAAAGAAAAAGAAAAAATCTCTGTGTTCTCATTGGTCATTAAATCTGAAAAAAACAAACAAAAAAAAAACCCAGTAAAAATCTAAAAAAAAAGTTGAGGACAGGAATAAAGTAGAACCAAAAAGGTCAGGGGTAATATTATAATAAAGGTGAAGACCAGCTGTCAGGCCTTTATTATTATTATTATTATTATTATTATTATTATTATTATTGTTACTGTTATTGTTACTATTATAGTTTTTGCTCAATAGAAACAATTTAATAAATTAGAGAATTAAGGTTTTGTACTTGTATGTCAGTGCAGTACCTGACTGGCCCACATGGGGACAGAATTTGCTTCATGGTTGAAGATCATTTTGTTCTGTTTTAATTATAAAATGATCTAAAGGTGGAACTGGTTCCTTTGTTTTTCCTCGTGCCTCCGTCCAGGCGTCTACATCTTTGGTCTGTTCACCACCACCATCTTTGCCAACGCTGGCCAGGTGGTGACAGGAAACCAGACGCCCCACTTCCTGTCAGCCTGCCGTCCAAACTACACGGCGTTGGGCTGCAAGTCCCCTCTGCAGTACATCACAGAGCGCCGGGCTTGCACCGGCAACCCCCTGGTGGTCATGTCTGCACGGAGATCTTTCCCTTCGAAGGACTCAGCGCTCAGTGTGTACTCTGCCGTGTACACCGTGGTAGGTCAAAGTACCACAAGTACTTTTACACACTGTACGCACCTGAAATAAACTGAAGAAAAATTCCAAGTCATTTTGTTGAAAAGCGTCTGTTTTTTCTAGAAGTTTCTTCTGACCCTGGACCACAGACCACAGACCACAGACCACAGCGTCTGTTACAGTGAAGTTCGTCCTGAGTTTTTTGACAGAAAATATTGTTTGTTTTTTCCCCTCTTTTTGATCAGCTCTTGACGCCACCTGCTGTTGGTGCTCATTATTGTCACAGCTGTTTTTGTCAGAGGAGCAAAAATGTTTTGGATGAAAATCATATTTTCACTGTTTTTTTTTGTTATTGTTTGAAAAGATATAAATGTGAAGATGATGAAGGAGTTCAGGAACACAGATGACATCTGTGGTCACGGTCACTGTGACCTCACACAGGAACCAACATGGTAACCATGGCAACTGTGTCTCCATGGAACTTTACTTATTTAAAAAATACAAAAAAAAAAAAAAACTCACTGAAACTCAGAGTTTTTAAATGTAAAAGAAAAACCCTGTCTCACCCCTGGTCAGATGTATGTGACACTGGTGTTCAGGACCAAAGGCACGCGACTCACCAAGCCCACCATCAGCTTCGTCCTGCTGTGTCTGGCCGTGCTGGTGGGCGTGGTCAGGGTGGCCGAGTACCGCAACCACTGGGCCGACGTCCTGGCCGGGTTCTTCACGGGGGGGGGCATCGCCGTGTTCCTGGTGAGAACAAACAAACTCTTAGGGTATTAGACCAGTGGTTCTCAAACTGGGGTATGTGGTTCCACATATGGTCTCCATTAGGTGGCGTCGGGGCCGACGGAGGGCAGAGAGAACAGAGTCTTAGAGCAGAAGGGTTGTTATACCAGGGTCTGGAGGAGGGGGAGCCACAGCTTGGACCACAACAGAATAATAATGAGCTGCATGAAAGTACTGTAGTACTGCTAGTATACTTTTACTCCACCCCTCATGTGATGTGACAGTAGCTTCCTCTCCCTCCCCCCTCTGCTCCAGGTCACCTGTGTGATCAACAACTTCCAGCAGCTGCGCTCCACTCTGACCCCACAGCGCCCCCAGCGGCCTGAGTCGGTGCTGGGCATGCCCATGGTGACCCTCCCCTGTGTGGAGAGTCCACTCGAAAAGTTAAGTGGTCCTCAGGTAAGGGTGTACGGGGGAGACGGGGGAGACAGGGAGAGTCACAGATACCTACCCCCCCCCCACACACACACACACTTTGAGAGAACCTCCAGGTGATGACTGTCAAATGGCTACAGTCGCCCCCTGCTGGCGTAAATAATAATTATAACAGGGTTATTGATGTTGGATGGGAGGACTGATACAGGCAGGGGGCGCTGTGAGGACAGAAGGGTGTATGTGTTATTTCTTGTACACTTAAATTAATCAGAAACTAGTTTGGTGCCACCCAGTGGAGAGAACGGGTACTTGACTTCCAGCTGGTTCAGTTCCTGCTCCCTCTGTCCTGACTCTGTCTGTTCTCCTCCATGGACGCTACAGTTTCTACATGAAACTTTTTGACCCGTCCTTGTGTGACATCATCGTCGTCATGTCGACTCACTAACCAATCAGCAGTGACTCGCTGCAGTCAAACTCTGATTTCTGCTGAATCAGAGACAAAAGTCTTGTTAGTGTGTTTTTTTAAAGACGTGCGGTGACGGAGCAGCTCCCGTCCCCCCC